GAGACAGAAAGTGAGAAATCACTCCCCAGGGGGGATGGCCACGCTGCAATCCCTTCTCCATTCTCCTCTCGGGATCTTGGACACACATGCACACGTTCCCGGCGTGAGTTTAAGCCGCCAGGTCCGGGACTCGAACCATGGTCGACCACGTGGGAGTCCAGCGACATAGCCATTATGCTAACTGCTGATCCTGGTGGGGTGGTAAATTTTTTAAATAGTCAATTTTCTGGAGATGGGCAAGAGAGGGCAGGTGGACCTTTCTGGAATTTGTTATAGCAAAATAAAGAAACCAGGGCCTTCTGTTGACTAATTAGTGCAGTGCAGGGTCTCATTTGGTTTGCTTGATCCAATTCTTCTTGCTCAGCTTTTTTTTTTTTTTTTTTTCTTTTTCCTTCCCTTTGTTGCCTTCCTCTCCCCCTTCCTCTTTTCTTTCCAGGAGACTTGAGGCTTGCATTTTATCTAAGAGAAGCAGTGAGCTGGTTAAAAAGTCCAACAAAGTATTTTTAGCTTTCCAACCCCTTCCTGTCATTGTCAGTATATTTAAATACTTCTACATACAGTCTAGTCAGTGTTATCAGTGCTTAATAAAAAAACAAGCTCAGGCTTTTCTATGTATAAATGTATCTTACCAACTTGTCCTGGCTGTGCCAGGGTTCCATTGTTTCCTCTAGTTTGAGCAGTCCTGTCCTTTGTTAGGCTGTGTGATTTCATTTTTTCCCTAATGTCATAATATGACTTTTTTTTTTTTTAACAGATTGCTATTACTGTTTCTTGAAGTTTATTTCCCAGAGTAGACTCTTTTAGGATCTTTTTTTTTTTTTTTCTTTTCTGTTTTGGGAGGGGGCCCAGTATTTATGATTTGGCTCCCAGTTTTCTTGGATTCTAGTGGTCCCTGTAAAGAAAAAAGGATCCAAGTGCAGAGGTCAGACTAGTTTGAACATGGAGCCTTTCAGAGACTAGAGAGAATTCTGTTCTCACCGCTGCAAAATGACCTCTGTGTGCTACACAGCATATCTCCTCCCTTGGAGTGTGGTGACTGGCTACAGGGATGGACATAGGCCACCTCTGCTGGCACCAGCCTGTGTGGGTTGAATGTGCTAACAAAGCCTTACCAGGGACTGTCACCTCCCGACTATACAGGGAGCTTCCAACTTGTGTGGCGGACTCAGCATTCTTGTTGCTGTGATTAGGGTGAGCTGTTATCTTTCCTTCAAAGTAAAATCAGTAGATAATTAAAAAAATTTATTTGGGGGGCGGGGAGAGACGTTTTTGCTATAGGGTGCGTGCGCTCACCGGAAAGACAGAGAAAGACAGAGACAAAAAGTCAAAAATCACCCTCTGGGGGGATGGCCACACCACAGTCCCTTCTCCATTCTCCTCTCGGGATCTGGGGTACGCATGCACGCATGCTGGCATGAGTTTAAGCCACCCGGTCTGGGACTCGAACTACGGTTGAGTACATGGGAGTCCAGTGACATAGCCATTATGCCAACTACTGGTCCCAAAAGTTTTTTTTTTTTTTTTTTTTTTTTTTTTTCTTTGTGGGTGTGTTTTTTTTTTTACTGTAGGGTTTGTGTACTCACCAGAGACCAAGAAAGAGAGAGCGAGAGGGAAAGTGAGAAATCCCCCCCCGCCCCCGGAGGGGATGACCATGCCATAATTCCTTCTCTTCCATTCTCATCTTGGGATTTTGGGTATCTCTATGCACATGTGCAGGGAGTGTTTTCAAGCTTCCAGGTCTAGGACCCAAACCACATGGTTGGCCATGTGGGATCCAATGCCTTTACCACCCCACCACCTGCTGGGCCCCTGCCCCAATTCTTTCTGTTGTTGATGATCTTTCTCTAGGAAGTCTCCCTGCCTACTGTTCTCTTCACATGATAACTGCCTGCCTTCACATCTTTCTGTATGCCTTGTAGCCTGTCAGCATTATTACAGAGAATATATCTGGGGCCAGCCATGGCTTGGTCATTAAGGTGGCTGGGTCCCAGATGGTGGCCAGGTGCAAGGTTTGAGTACCAGACCCAGTGGCTTGCTTGAAAAACACACTGTGTGTGTGCTTGCCCAAGATCTCAAAAGGAGAGAAATAGAGGAGAAGAGATTGTGACATTGACCATTCCCCATGGGGGGGGGGATGCTCCCCCCTCCTCCAGGGAGTGCATGCACCTTCTGGCAAAAAAGAAAAAAATAAAGAATATATCTGATTTAGAGTTAAGAGAATGTTCCATTCTCTGTATATTCTGCTATTTATTTTCGAAGTGTTTTCAGACATCACTAAGCTTTTGTCAAAATCTAAATACAGTCCCAGGCACTATGGTGCAGCAGTAATGCAAGTGCCCTGTAGGAGTGGAAGCAACAATGCTGACCATGGGTTTAGGTCCCCAGGTAGGCCTGAAAATGTGCTGGGCACTTGGCACGACGTGACTATCAAGGGTGCGTCTCTCTGTTTCTTACATTCACTCGCAAATTATCGTTGAAAAAAGAAAATACAATCACTACCTACCTAACATTCATTGAGTGCTTACTACAGGGCAGGTTTTATACTATATTCTCATTTCACTCCCTATGGTTAATCCTATTGTATAGATCCTAAATCTAGACAAGAGGAAAACACGTACTGAGCAACCATGCATTATAGCATCCCAAAAGATAATAAAACGCCACAGAGGAAGCCAGGAAGCTTATGTCCCAGTATCTTACCCTGTGGACTGAGACAGGTTTGTTTTTTCTTCTTTGTGCCTTTTAAGGACCATTTCTTATGCTGCTTTATTCCCCTTGATATCTATTTCTGGGGGAAGCATGTAGAAAAAATGCTCAATAAACACTGGTTGAGACAGAAAATTAAGATCTCCTTTTTCCTTAGCCTGGTTTGACCCCAGTGGTGGTAGTTGTCTTTGTGTGTTGCTTTATTAGTTGTTGGTGCTACTGTGCTGCTGCTCATCTAGGAAGTTACTCACTTGGGATACCCCTTACATGGCACAGCAGTCTCCAGGGGTGGAAGATGAGCTTGTCATGCTGTGGGACTGTATTTCCCTGGCTGACGAAGGCTCAGTCCTCGGGCCAGGTAGTGGAAATTGATTGGCCTACATAGCTCATTTCCCTCAGTCTAGCAGAGTCCTAAGATGGCTGGGGAGAGGCTGTTTGTTGGTTACTCACATGCAGCTGATACAGGCTTGTAGTTCAAGCTGCTGTGCCCTACCATGGAGCTACTAGGACCAGCCTAACTTGCAGGGCCCTGGACCTCAGACAGGTAGGTCTAGATGACCACAAGGCATTGTGCTCCTGTAGGATCCTGCAGAGCTACTGCTCTTTATCTTAAAAAACTAAAACAAGGGACCAGCAGTTAGAGTAATGGCTATGTCGCTGGACTCCCATGTAGTTGACTGTGGTTCGAGACTCAGACCTGGTGGCTTAAACTCATGCCGGGTGTGTGTGCATGTGTGCCTAAGATCCCAAGAGGAGAATGGAGGAGAAGGTATTGCGGCGTGGCCATCCCCCTGGGGGGTGATTTTTCTCCAAAACAAAACAAAATAAAAACTATTACTTGTTTTTTTAAAGAGAGGGTTTTGTTTTGTTTTGTTTTGGTTTGGTTTGTTTTTTTGTTTTTTTGCTATAGGGCACGTGTGCTTGCCAGAAAGAGAGAGACAGAGAGACAGAAAGCAAGAACTCAGCCCCCAGGGGGATGGCCACACCCAATGCCTTCTCCTTTTGGGATCTTAGGCACACACACTTACACCCCTGGTGTTTCAAGCCACTGGGTCTGGGACTCGAACAGCGACTGACTGGGTCTGGGACTCGAACTGCGATCGACTATGAGGGAGTCCAGTGACGTAAGCATTACGCCATCTGCTGGTCCCATATTTGTTGTGATTTTCAACCTGCCAAATCTACCACTCAAACTACGGTTGGCCATGTAGGAATCCAGTGCCTTAACCACCACACCACCTGCTAGCCCCCTCTTTATCTTTTTTTAAAGCTTTGTTTATGAGGTCCGGCAAGTGGGATGGTGGTTAAGCACACTAGACTCCCACATGGGCGACCGTGGCTTGAGTCCTGGACCTAGCATCTTGCTTTTTTACTTTCCCTCTCTCTCTCTCTCTCACTCTCTCTCTCTCTGGTCAAATTAAAATAAAAAATAAAACGAATAAATAAAGTTGAACAAAATAATTCTTTTAAAAAAGCTTTATTTATGGGACCAGCAGTTGGCATAATGGCTATGTCACTGGACTCCAATGTAGTTGACCGGAGTTCGAGTCCTGGACCTGGTGGCTTAAAAACTCATGCCAGGCTCATGTGCCGTCCGTGCCCGAGATCCCAAGAGGAGAATGAAGGAGAAGGGATTGCAGCATGGTCATCCCTCCTGGGGGGTGGTTTCTCGCTTTCTGTCTGTCTCTCTCTGTCTTTCTGGCAAGTGCATGCACCCTATAGCAAAAAAAAAAAAAAAAAAAAAAAGCCTCAATTTATGATGTTTTCTGGAAGTTTTTTTTTTTTTTTTTTTTTTTTAGCTTATTTTGATACAATTTCAAGTGTACAGAAAAATTGAAGAGTAGTACAGAAGTTCCTGTATACCTTTTATACAGATTCACTAAATGTCAGCATTTTGCCTCATTTCCTTTCTTCCTTGCATGTCCCCCACTCTTCTGAATCATTTGACTGTAATTTGTAGATAGCATGCCCCTTCGCTCCTGAATATGTGAGTATGTATTCCTTAAGAGCAAGGGCGTTCTATTGCATAATCACAGTAATAAAAAAAAATGCAAATTCAGTGTTGGTACAGTGCTGTTACCTAATCCACTGTCTATACAAATTTGTTTCCATATTCCAGAATGGCCCTCATAATGGTAGAACTTTATCTTTAAAGAAAACAACTGTGGGTTGCAGGTGTCCCTTCAATTAGGATGGTTCAGAGAGCAGATCTAATAGGTGTCTGAGGAAGCAGTTGCCATTGGTGCCACCTCACCAGCTCCTGTCTCTGTAGGACCAGAGGACTGAGTACTAGGAACCATACTCGGCAGCAATGTCAGTGGAAGTGGAGACCTCCGAGGGAGTAGATGAGTCGGAAAAAAAGAACTCTGGGAGTACAGAAAAGGAAAACCACACCAGGTAAGCAATGGGAGCTGGCTGCACTGAGGCAGATGGGCCTGGTTCCTGCCATACCTAGAACACCTGGCTTCATCTGCTAACAGCACTGGGTCATGGACTTTGAGCTGTGGACCACAGGATGTCTGGGTGGTACTGCAGGGCCTGTGGATAGCCGCTGTGGTTGTTTGGCATCTCCCTATTCATTCTGTTCCTTTATCTGGGCGTGCTGAGTGATAGGATCTGATGGTAGTGCTCATCCTTTTTCTTTTTAAAAACCTAAGCGTTTTTCCCACATGGGCCAAGAAAGGGTACTCAAAGGCAAAGCAGTACCTTCCACTCCTTTGAATGAGGGAGCTGACCCAACTGCAGTGGTATGTGCTGCTAAGATGCTATGCTCCATAGGCTGGGACCATACAGGAGGCCAGGATGTGTGCACTTGTAGTCCCAGTGACTCATGAGGATAAGACAGGAGGATTACCACAGTCTAAAAAAAAAGGAAGTTTGGGGCCAGCAGGTGGCATGGGGGTTAAGGCACTGGACTCCCACATGGTCAACTGCGTTTCGAGTCCCAGATCTGGTGGCTTAGTTTCCCACTTTCCCCCCTCTCTCTCTTTCTCTGTGTCTCTCTCTAGCCAAATTAAAGAATAATAATGGTAATAATAAAAAAAAAAAAAGCGAGAGCTATTTTAACTCTAGGGCAGGCTACCATGTAAGGCCAGTTCGCTCTAAGCTGTAATTACCAGGCCCACTCTCTCTTTTTCTCTCCTCTCCTCTCTTTCTCTGTCTGTCTCTCTATATATATTACATATACACACAAACATACATGCTTTTTTTTTTTTTTTTTTTGCTTTTGCTTTTAGAAAGACTTTTGCTATAGGGCATGTGTGCTCGTCAGAGAGACAGAAAGAGACAGAAAGTCAGAAGTCACCTGCCAGGGGTGATGGCCACACCACAGTCCCTTCTCTTCCATTCTCGTCTTGATATCTTGGGCATGCATGCACAGGCAGCCGGCATGAGTTTCAAGCTGCCGGGTCCAGGACTCAAACTATGGTCGACAATGTGGGAGAATTCGGCAATGTAACCATTACGCCTTCTGCTGGTGCTATATTTTTAGAAGGCCTAGCTACAGTGGCACATGTGTAGTGCCATTTCTTGGGAGGCCGGAGGCCGTGTAGGAGGCATATGGGATCAGTTTCTGGGCCAACCTGAATACACCAGAGCGGTTGTATGCACCTACACTCCTAGTTTACTGGGAGGCTGTAGGACCCTGACACAACAAGACCCTGTGAAGAATGCCTATTTTGTTACTCTCCATTTTCCTCTCTCCCAGAAAAATAAACAAGATTACTGGGCCCTATTCTGCCTTGAGAGATGGGATGTGCATGTGTGAGTCATCCCTTCCCAGCTTCTCAGAAAGGACTATTGGTTGAAAGACTGAGTCTCTTATTATAGCCAATTTCTTTCTTTATACCTTGAAGTAATTGCTAATCATCTGATTTTTTGGGGGGAGGGGAGAGGTTTTTGTTACAGGGCGCGTGTACTCGCCAGACAGAGAGAGAGACAGAGAGACAGAAAGCGAGAAATCACCCCCCCAGGGGGATGGTCACGCCGCAATACCTTCTCCTCCATTCTCCTCTCGGGATCTTGGGCATGCATGCACATGCGCCGGGCATGAGTTTTAAGCCACTAGGTCAGGGACTCAAACCGCGGAGTAGTTGACTACATGGGAGTCCAGCGACATAGCCATTACGCTAACTGCTGGTCCCAGTAATCTGATTCTCAGCAAATGGGTTTGTTAAAAACTAATCCCTAGGGGCTAGCAGATGGAATGGTGGTTAAGGGATTGGATTCCTGCATGAGAATGACCACAGTTTTTTTTTTTTGGAGAGATTTTCGCTATAGGGTGCGTGCGCTCGCCAGACAGAGAGAGAGACATAGAGACAGAAAGCGAGAAATCACCCCCCCAGGGGGATGGTCACGCCGCAATACCTTCTCCTCCATTCTCCTCTCGGGATCTTGGGCACGCACGCACACGCACCCGGCCTGAGTTTTAAGCCACCGGGTCTGGGACGTGAACCGCGGTCGACTACGTGGGAGTCCAGCGACATAGATATTATGCTAACTGCTGGTTCCCAGAATGACCACAGTTTAAGACCCAGACCCAGTGGCTTGAAAATCACACTGGGAAAGCTGAAAAGAAAAGAAAATTACCCTGGGTGTATGAGCCCAAATCCCAAGAGAACAGAAGAGGTTGTGAAGTGGGCATTCCCCTGGGGTGGGGAGGTGATTTCTCTCTCTCTTCATCTGTCACTCTACAGCAAGAGCATGTGCCCTATGGCAAAAACCTTTAAAAAAAAAAAGAAAAAGCTAATCCCTAAAGAAGGGGCAGAGGCTGGACTTGAGAGGGCTAGGTTTTTCCTTCTTTGGTAGATGGTCCGTGTGGACACATGTGCGTCTCTGCCCAGGTGCCACCATGAGGTTCACACATGTTCTACCTTGTCTAGCAGCACAACTTTATCCCATATATTTTGTTAAGCTCCTCAAACTCAGGGTGCAGGCTCCAAACACTTGGTTGTCTCATCCTTGTCCTTCTGTTCCTGGAGCCAGCCACATGAAGTCCTGAAGAGGCTGTGGATCCAAAGTGGAAGGCAGCAGTGCCACCTCAGGAGCTCCAGGGTCAGAGTCCCTTTACCAGCTGCATGGCTTCCAGGAGACACAGTCCCAAAGGCAGGCTATTCAGTTAGAGGTGTACGTTTCTTCAGCCAGGAGGCAGTCAGTCACAAACACAGATACTTTTGTATATTTTGTGGAATAGGCCAGTCACCGTGTGCACCTAACCTTGTGGTGGGCTGGCACGTCAGCTTGTCCTGCATTCCGTGCCAGGACTGCCCATCATGATGGAGTGTAGTGCTGAGCAGCCCCTGCCTCCATCCAGTGAGTGGGCACTCAGTCTTTCAACCAGTAGTCCTTCCTGGGGAGCTGGGAAGGGCTGGTTCACACATGCACATCACCTCTCTCCACAGAATGGCTGACCTCTCTGAGCTCCTGAAGGAAGGGACCAAGGAAGCACATGGCCAGGCAGAGAATACGCAGGTTGTCAAGGACTTCTTGAAAGGCAACATTAAGAAGGAGCTATTTAAGGTTTGTGTCCTCAGTTACCACCAAAGTTGGTGGGGGCCTTTGTCCCATGGGAAAGGTGCCTCTGGAGCTGCTCCAAGGGAGGGGCTGGGCCTTTCTAGAGGCTCCATACTCCCTTGATGTTAAGCTGTGGCTCTCATGGTTTAAATGAAAAAAGAATGATGTTAAAGCACAGGCATCTGTGTTCCAGAGAATTCACTGTGTCATTCTTCAAGAAACCCAAAAGCTTCCTGCCTATGTTCGATACCTCACTATGTAAAGTAGGCCAGGATTGACTCTTTGGGGACTGGGAGTGGCAGTTACTGTAGCATTTATTTCTAGCGGCTCAGACAAGGTGAGCCAGGGAGCTACACTCACAGACCCCCATGATCTCCTCCAATCACCCCCACAGCTGGCCACCACTGCACTTTACTTCACCTACTCAGCCCTGGAGGAGGAAATGGACCGCAACAAGGACCACCCAGCCTTCGCCCCCTTGTACTTCCCCACGGAGCTGCACCGGAAGGAGGCCCTGACCAAGGACATGGAGTACTTCTTTGGTGAAAACTGGAAGGAACAGGTGCAGTGCTCTGAGGCTGCCCAGAAATATGTGGAGCGGATCCACTACGTGGGGCAGTATGAGCCGGAGCTGCTGGTGGCCCACGCCTACACCCGCTACATGGGGGACCTTTCGGGGGGCCAGGTGCTGAAGAAGGTGGCCCAGCGGGCACTGAAGCTGCCCAGCACAGGCGAGGGGACGCAGTTCTACCTGTTTGAGAACGTGGACAATGCCCAGCAGTTCAAACAGTTCTACCGGGCCAGGATGAATGCCCTGGACCTGAACCTGGAGACCAAAGAAAGGATTGTGGAGGAGGCTAACAAAGCCTTTGAATACAACATGCAGGTACTGCTGGGGGATTTCTGGGTACCTGGGTTGCAAAGAGGACTTTTGACAGTGGGAACAAGCTTAGAGCTCCCAAGGCTCCCGAGGCATTAGCACAGATGAGCTGCTGCCAGCCTGAGAAAAGCAAGGGATCCGATTTGGCCACTAGAAGGCGTGACCCAGTGGTTGGCTCCCAGCAGGGAGGGCCTGGTTTGATGGATGCCAGTGGGGAGTTTGTGGAAGGGCAAGACTCTAGCACATTGAGTGGACTGGGGGAATTGAGCTATCTCCCTCCTTCTCACTATGGATGCTAGTTGTAAGAAACTTTCTAAGTCTGCAGTGAAAAGTCCTGCTTGGTAAATTCAGGGGGAGCCGGTTTCACCAGGAGGTGAATTCTGCAAGTAGCCTTGGGTGGGGCTGAGCCTACAGAAGCTGACTGGATACAGAGGAAGTGGCCTGGGCAGTGAAGTGCCTGGTGGACCAGAGACCCCTCAACTCTTTTTAAAATTTTAAATATATAAACGTTATAAACATTATTTATCTAAATTTTATCAGAGAAGGACAGAGAGAGACAGAAGGTGAAGAAGCAAGCCGCTAGGTTGTCTGAAACTCAAACCACCATGTAGGTTGGCCATGTAGGAGACCAGCACCTTCAACCACCACAGCACCTGCTGCCGCACAGCTCTTTAGTGAGGCCTCCCAGGGACAGTCAGTGTGGGTCTGCTCTGCTAGGGCCCCGTTCTCCCATACTCTTAAAATAACCAGCAATAGGAAATAGGGAAGAACCGGCGCCCTTTCCTCTTGCCTGTGCCCTGGTCATTTTAGTTGCCTGAACCATCTCAGAGAAAGCCAGGCATGGGATGTGTGGTCAGTGCTCTGGGAAGACTGCCATGTTCGGCTGTCCTGGGGTGCTAGCAACACAGGGGTGGCCACAACTCCTCAGAGCTCATGCCAGGGGGACAGGGTACTCCAGGCATGGCTGCTGCCCACTGGGCCGCCTGGTTAGCTCCAGCTCCTTCTGGACCGAGAGAGCGCTGCTGCCCTAACGCAGTGTGTGCAGTCCAGGGATGGCTTGGGTGATCTTCTCCTGCAGATCTTCAATGAACTGGACCAGGCTGGCTCCACACTGGCCAGAGAGACCCTGGAGGACGGGCTCCCTGTGCACGATGGGAAAGGAGACGTGCGCAAATGCCCCTTCTATGCTGCTGAACAAGACAAAGGTAGGTGTGTGTGCCCTGAACCCCCTCCTGGTCAGGTGTGTCCGCGGCCACCACTGATGGCATCTCCTGTTGGTGCTGCCATGCAGGTGCCCTGGAGGGCAGCAGCTGCCCCTTCCGAACAGCCATGGCCGTGCTGAGGAAGCCCAGCCTCCAGTTCATTCTGGCCGCCGGCCGGGCCC